CAAGAGCCCATCTCACAATCTGATCTGTACAATCTATACATAAGAGTAAAATCACCTATGATTATTACTTTGCCTTTTTTATAAAAAACAAGCCCCCATTATTCCTGTATATAATTTCAACCACCTACAGCTAGTGTCAACTGGATGATCCAGAGATAGTAGGAATTGCAGATGCTGGAGAATCCGAGACAACAAGGTGCAGGGCTGGATGAACACAGCAGGCCAAGCAGCATCATAGGAGCAGAGAGGCTGACGTTTCAGGCCTAGACCCTTCATCAGAAAAGGGGGAGGGGAAGGGGGTTCTGAAATAAATAGGGAGAGAGTGGGAGGCGGATAGAAGATGGATAGAGGAGAGGATAGGTGGAGAGGAAACAAACAGGTCGAAGAGGCGGGGATGGGGCCAGTAAAGGTGAGTGTAGGTGGGGAGTTAGGAAGGGGATAGGTCAGTCCAGGGAGGACGGACAGGTCAAGGGGGCGGGATGAGGTTGGTCGGTAGGAGATGGAGGTGCGGCTTGAGGTGGGAGGAGGGGATAGGTGGGAGGAAGAACAGGTTAGGGAGGCAGGGACGAGCTGGACTGGTTTTGGGATGCGGTAGGGGGAGGGGAGATTTTGAAACTTGTGAAATCCACATTGATACCATTGGGCTGCAGGGTTCCCAAGCGGAATATGAGTTGCTGTTCCTGCTACCTTCGGGTGGCATCATTGTGGCACTGCAGGAGGCCCAGGATGGACATGTCATCTGAGGAATGGGAGGGGGAGTTGAAATGGTTCGCGACTGGGAGGTGCAGTTGTTTATTGCGAACCGAGCGTAGGTGTTCTGCAAAGCGGTCCCTGAGCCTCAGCTTGGTTTCCCCGACTTAGAGGAAGCCACACCGGGTACAGCGGATGCAGTATACCACATTAGCAGATGTGCAGGTGAACGTCTGCTCGATGTGGAAAGTCTTCTTGGGGCCTGGGATGGGGGTGAGGGAGGAGGTATGGGGGCAGGTGTAGCACTTCCTGCGGTTGCAGGGAAAAGTGCCGGGTGTGGTGGAGCTGGAGGGGAGTGTGGATCGGACAAGGGAGTCACGGAGAGAGTGGTCCCTCCGGAAAGCAGATAAGGGTGGGGAGGGAAAGATGTCT